GGGAGAGGAAAGACTTATTTAATCTCTTTGAAGGAGGCTTTTGAGTGAGCTGTTGCAAGATGGCTGGCATGTGCGCAAGTGGAGTTAGTGATGAAGAGAACTGTCAGTGAACCGCACAGTGCGAGCAAAGGCACAGAGGCAGGAAAGCATGTGTGGTCCATATGGATGCGTCTGCACTGGAGTGTCGTGTGCTTGCACATATGGACATCTGCGTGGAAATGGATGGGCAAGATCAGGGGAAGAAGCTACTGAAGCAGACTGGGGAATGAATCAGATGGCAGGGAAGGCCAGACTAAAGAAATACATGAAACTACTACAACCTCAGAGACTTTTTAAGGGGTTTTGAGTAAGCGAGTAAAATGGTCAGGAAGATAGCTCTAGCAGCAATGTGTAAGATGGAGGCAGGGACTGCTTAATAACCTGTCCTAGGAGGCCACAAGGAATGAAGGCCTGAACTGGAATGGTAGCATTGGAACCAGAAAGAAATAGATGGATGTGGGAGACATTGTTGAGATAGAATTAACAGACCCTGATGACACAGAATATTGAGAAGATACTGAAAATGTTCTTACCAGAAGAGAGGAGAAGCAGTAGGTTTAGCGTTGGGGAGGGGTGAACTTGTTTGGTTTGAGCCAATCAGGGCGTATCTATGAAAGCTGTCTAGTAGATGGAAGTGAAAGTCTGTCTCACAGGGAGATACAGATGAAGGCTAAAGGGAGAGTTCTGTTACATCCAGATCATTTGGAAGCAGACTTGAAGCATTCCACTTAGAGTATATGGAAGTGGTTGCTTTGGCAATGAGAGCCATTCCCAGTCATACGGCCAAGGTAGGTCCAGCTTGGCCTGTAGTAAGAACTGCTGGAGCAAATAAGCTGGCTGTGAAGTATCATCATTTCTCTGTATATAGTTGCCTGCTGTGGCCTTATATTCATATTTCTTAATGAAAATAGCAGGGGAGAGGAAGACTATAACTCTTATTACACAGCTATCTCTTAAGTAAGGTGTCTCAGTATTGGTTTACCACATTAAAGAACCCTACGTCCTTTGCTCCTGATTGGCCATTTAGCACCATTGAGACAAAGACTTTGGATTAGAGAAATGTATAAGAAGCAAAACTGCAGGACTTGTTTGTTTCCGGGGAAAGTGAGGGAAAGCAGGAGTGGGTTGGGATTGTTTAGGCCTTAATATGTGGGTAATGAGTTTAATACAAGATTTACAAGGCAATTTATGTACATATGTTCTCTCCAAGCACAACTTGGAGACAACAAATTACCTCATTGAACTTGTATTAGGGGATATTCTTTATCCTGTGTCTTGTACATTAAAACTTCAGATGGTTGAGGGGAAGGGATGACTCTTTAGGTAAGTTAACAGACTATTTCAGTAGCCTTAACATTACATTCCAGCCTCCTCCAAGCACCAAGGTCACCTTCATGCTCCTTAATCCCTGAGGTCTCTAGCATGTATTTTTACAGTGTAGGGAATCTGGCCCCTCTGTCACGAATCCCCAGTCTCCCACACTTTATTCTTCACTTTTTTCATTAATTCTAAGAAATAAGCCATGTAGGTGCTTATAAAATATAGAGCCCTCTGCCTTCCTTCTACTTCTTCAAAGTACAAAGCACCTTGCATCTTGCCTGTTCCCTCACTCTCCACTTCAGTGACTTGCTCTGGCTCATGAGCTTTGCAGTTGGCACAGTACAAATTTGTTTCTCAGCAGACTTATAAATTACTGCATGTAATGGATTTGGGGGTCATTTATAAATAATTGAAACCATGAATGTTCAATTTTTGAATGCCAAGAGTCTACTGAATATCAATATTTCATGGAGTTCTATAAAGAACTATGAATTCCAGCTTTTATGCCTCTTAAAATGTATTCGAGAGCCCCTGATCCATGGTATTGAGTCTGTAACTCTATTATTATTTTCTGTTTTAGAATAAATTAACATGTTAAGATATACTCCTTGTGAAGCCTTTTAAAAAAAGCAAATCCTTCTTTAAATTTCATGGAGGTAGAAGGAGTTAAAGCGATGCTAAACATTTCATAATTTTTATTTCATTTTCTTTGGTTTGTTTTTTAATTTAATTTTTTATTTTTTTTACATTTTATCTTTATTTTTGTAACTATGTAATATACAGAAAAGGTAATGACTGTTTCCACCATTTTATCGAAATGCCCTCACTGTTTAACATACCCTAGAATGCCATACAAATATCCTCATAAGCAATCCATACAAATTCCTCATAAACGACCCAAATGCCCTGCTCCAGAAGGTGCTAGAAGGGAAGTAGGAGCAAGCTCACAAAAACTTAGAGGAACATAATCCCAGGAAGACAAGAGCTTTAAAATCCCCCTGACTTTCTATATGTTTTAAAATACTTTTTTAAGTAATAAGTTCTCACCAGATTAAAAAGTAAGCTGAAAATAAGAATCAGGGTTTTGAACTTGACAGGCTGGGGAATGCTGTCTGGTACCTGATGAAAACCTCTCTGTGAAGATAAGTGTTACCCACGTGCAGGCACCTGGCACCTGCCTGAATTTGTTTTCATTTGACTCCAACATCCTTGCCCACCTAGAGTTCAGCTGTGCATCTCCAGCAGCAGCATCTTTGTTTCTCCTTTATTTATTTAAAATTTTCAGTTTATTCATTTTTAATTGAGGTATAGTTGATACATAATATTATATTGGTTTCAGATGCACGATGTGATGATTTGACAATTATGTACATTTAAAAATGTTTGCTACAATAAGTGTAGTACCACCTGTCAATCTATGAAGATATTACAATGTTATTTACTATATTCCCTCTGCTGTCCTTTCATCCCCATGACTAATTTACTTTATAATTGGAATTTTATATCTCTTTATCCCCTTTACCTATTTCATCAACCCATTTTATTTCTTAAATGGCAAAATAATACATGCTTGTTGTAAAAAAAAATAGAATCAGAAGCATGTGGAGTAAAAAGTGAAAATCTTGATTTGCCTTATCCCTTAGTCCCATTGCCTTACTAATATTTTGGTTTGTATTTTCCTAAACCTTTCCATTGGGATTTATACAAGTAAATGCACATATAGATTTTTAGGGAATTTTTAAAAAGCCAAATGGAATCATAGTGTATATATTGTTTTGTTTAAAAGAGTCCTTAGCCATATATAGATCCCTACCTAGATCTATAGATCTTTTCAGTCTCTGTATATAGCATTTCATGGTAAGAAGGGATTCTAATGTATTTAACTACTTCCCTAGCTATGTTTTTTTCCCCCGTAATAAGTGTGTCAGGATGTTAGGTGGGATTTTTTTCCCTGTTGCCCCAAAGCTGTTGCTGAGTCCCAAAGCTGGAGACAGAAACACTAAGTTTGAGGGCCTTCCATTTGAAAAGAGTCCCAGCAATGAGAGCCAGACCTTACCTGTGGGATTATTTAAAGCATGTGAAGTGTTCACCATCCCATCCCAGGCTGTATACAAAGAGAGCTAAGAAGCCAGAAGATTTTAACATTTGGGGGAGTGCTGTGTTTGTGGGCAGAGGTCATTTTCTCCCTTTCTAAAATCAAGAGGAGAGAAGTGCTCTATGAGAATTCACTGTGGAATGCCAATAAGAATAACACAATGGAATTTTATTGAACATCTGCTGAGCCAGTGGATTTGCTAACTCTCCCCATTACATTATAAACAGGGAAAAAGAGAATTGGTGAGAGTTGACTGGACTGCCAAGTGAGGAGATGGGTCAGAATCGCCCTATTTCCTCCCCAGAGGGTCAGGCCGTGGCATGTATCAGTTGGTCCTATAGTGAAGAGACAGGAGATTGGGGTGTAATTGAGCAGGGAGAAAAGAGTGTGTGTATTAGAGGAATGTGGCTTGAATGCTACCAGCTGAGGATCAGGTCCACGGGGTAGCCAAATGATTGCTTTTTCCATAGGCTATTTATTGCGGTACAGGACCCTGGTAAGAGCTAGGATCCTTTTGCAAGGTCTTCAGTCAGTTGGGTGGCACTTTTAAAGTTATATACTATGTTTCTTAAAAAAGCAAAGAATGTCCAACACTTAAGTGGTTAGTCCAGAAGAAGTCATGCTAGTGATGTCTTCTCAAGAAATTTGAGCTGTTAGATATTAACTAATACCAAAACGTACTTTTTCCAGATGGCAACCAGCATATCTGAGTCCTTAGTTATTATTGGGGGTAAACATTCATGTATACCTTATACCTGTTAGGTTGTCATCACATCCCAGAAATGGTAGCCAGGAGGACCGAGGTTTATCTGAGCAATGCTTCTATTCCACAGGAAGTATAAGTAATTAAGAGGTCATTTTTAATAGGATACAACTAGGCTTATTCTTTGTGCTGGTGTTAAGTACAGAAAAAATTCTTCAGTGCTAAGGAGAATATATACTTGTTTTAAAATACCTTTAATTGCTTAAACTGAAACTTTTATTTAGACCACTTCAAAGGACTCATTTATTTTCTAAGTTGGTCATAACATAGCTTCATGTAAATTTTTCTGTAAGAGAGGAGCAATTTTATGATTCAGCTACAGCTACATGATTTTATGATTCAGCTACATGATTATATTTAGAGGCTAGAAATAAAGTATAATAGTAACTTACAAGAAATTATAAGGACAGTGCATGTTAAAAGTGTGATACATCAATGGGAAATTAAGAGACTAGTAAGTTTCTTTAGGGAAAGATCTTTTTCAAATGTAAACAAACTTTGTATTTTCTTGTGTTGCATTTGTATTTTTCTGGTTACTTTTTCCTGAGTATCTGATATGATTGTGAGAGTTTGATACAACTAGATTCTTTTTCTAAAAGCTGTAGATTGTTTTACAGTTAGTAAACTAGAGACTTAGTAAATGGTATTAATAACTTTAAAATGTGCATCTTGAAAGTTTTTAAATATATATATTCAATGAATCGTATATTTTCATGTTTTTATGCTTAAATTTATGTATTTTTAAATACATGTTTCATTTTTTTTTTTCTGATTGTCTTACAGGAAGTGCCACAATCATTTTCTACAACCACATTAAGTGACACAGAGGAAAATAATATGAAGACTAATATACAGAGAAACAAAATGCCAGTAGAAGAACTTGGTAAGATTTCTGAACATAAAACCATCACTAAAGGAACACCAAATAAGGAAGACAAGGCGGGGAGCTGTTCTGAGAGTTGTTTGAGTGCTGAGGAGAAGTCCTTCAACAATGAGTCCCAAGGCTCTCATCCTGTGTCCAGCTCTGATCCCTCCAATCCTGAAACACTGCATGCAAAGGCAACTGATTCAGTTCCACAAGGTTCTGAAGAAAACAAGGTCAAAAGGACACCCTGCATGTATGGGGCAAACTGTTACAGGTAAAATGAAATTACAGATAGCATATAATTCCATCATTTCAGTAGCATGTAGGTAGGAAGGTAATATGCTATAGTGTATTAAAAGCCTAATAAAACCCATTGGCCTAAAGATTAGAAGCTTTATCATGTTTTTGCTGGCTTGCACTTTCTCAGTATACATTCCAGCAAATCCTGCTAGAGGCTTTTAAGATATAGTGGGGAATTAAATGTTCTGTATGTAGACATGCTGATTAATGCAGTGATCTGAAGTGGGGAATCCAGACTAGAAAATTTAATCACTCAGACCTAAATACCTGCTTATTTAATGTCTTATTTAGATACTAGAAAGATGGCTCCATAAATAGTTGCATATAGTATAAGTATCAAGAGAATTTTAGGTTCTGTTTAGCCATCTTTTTATACTTGTACATTTTCCTTTATATTTTTCTAATGGGCTTTTGAATCACCATAAGGTAAGACAAATGAATATGCATTTCCTAGATTAAGTGATTGCCCCTATACTTACTTCATTTGATTACATTGTACTGTATTTTCTAATTCCGTATTTTCTGAATTCAAACTTAATCCTTTAGTTTTAGGCTATAATTTATCTATAATGTTTATGCTTGCATGTTTATAATTATACAGCCATATTTCAGACGTACATCTTTGTCATTACAACTTGTTAAACTAAATATCTTACTGCTATGTTACAGTAGTTAGTTGTCTTCTATTCAGTAGTGTATTTATATTACATACTCTGTTAATTTCATATTCATATTATCTCTTTAAAATGCATTGCTATTTTAGCACTTGAATAACCATATTTTTCAACTTAAGTGGTTATAGTTTATGCATTTTTTCACAATTTTGTCTGTTCATAATGACCTTAGTGCCACCTACTGAACCTAATGTGTAAACTTATAGAAGTATATAAAATTTACATTATTTTATATTTTTAAAAAATTTCTGTTGGATATTTATATTAGTTCACTAGAGCCACCACAACAAAATACCTCAAACCACAACAAAATACCTCAAACAAAATACCTCATGTTTAAGATGGCTTAAACATTAGAAGTTTACTATCTTGTCTGGAGGCTGGCAGTAAGGATCAAGGTATGGGCAGATTTGGTTTCTCCTGAGGCCTCTCTCCTTGGTTTACAGATGACTGCCTTCTCGCTGTGTCCTCACATAATCTTTTCTCTGTGCATGCACATCCCTGGGGTCTCTTCCTCAGCTTATAAGGACACTAGCCATATTGGATTAAGACCTTACCCTTATAACCTTAAGTAATGTGAATTATCTCTTTAAAGGCCCTATTTCTGTATATATTCACATTAGGGCTTAGAACTTTAATGAGAATTTTACAGGGACACAATTTAGTCTATAACAGTAGTCAACATTGGCATTTGTCTTTGTTAAAGGTGATCAAATGCCTTATTAAGGTCATAATGAATTCATAGTTCATGATAATACATATTAGTTTTAATCAGTCATAGCTTATGAATAGTTATTTTAATTTTTCTCTAATTTGGATATATATAATTCATACCTAAGAAATATTTACCATTAAAATCTTGAAAACAAAATGTTTACATATGGGGAGAAGGTAACATATATTGAGTTCTGGTATATATGTGCGTCATAACAATCATTTAAAGATATCTTTTCTCTAACCTCAGTGCCAGTTTTAGTTCATGCTATGGTCTCTGGGACAGGTAAATAATCTCCTACATCTCTACACTCTTCCTCAAGTTCATATTTCTCATTGTTGCCTAAGTGATCTGGCTAAAAAAATAAAAACAAAGATAAACAGAAGAGAAGGAAGAGAAACAGTATGACTCCCTTGTACAGAATCTTTCAGCAGCTGAAATCTCTGGGTTTCTTAACATAGTCCAGAAGGCCCTGACCCCCTGTAATTCTTTAGGTGCACCATTGCTGTTTTATATCTTCTGGACATGCTGTTTCCTTTTTCTCACTCCTGTCCTGCTTAAAGACCCTGTACCCATTCAACTCCTTTTTGAGTCCTTTTCTGATAAGCCCATTCTTCCCCAAATTGCTCATCCTCTATTCTATGCATTTTTTTCCTCATGCAGTTTCTAATATTAAATCTAATATTTAATATCTAGCCATTGATTTCTAATTATTTATTTACATGTTCTGTGTCTCCTAAAATAAAATTATTGCTCAAGGGTAGTTATAATCAGTCCCTTGATGTCATGCACCCAAATCTGTACAGGCTCTTCAAATTAAATGTCTCTAAAGCAGTTACGTCTTTTCAATCCTGTGTTAAATAAAATAACAACAAAATAAAAGCATAGACATTCAGGAGGGAAAAAATGAGCATAAATATAAATGAATATGGACTATAAAGCAATGATATAGTTTTGTATACAATATATGAAAGTAGCACAAAAATGGTTGGAGAGTAAAGCAAGCAAAATTTGACTACTGTAGATGTGTTATATAAGTAGAATCATTTGCTGTTTTGTGACTGGCTTATTTCACTTAGCATGATGTCCTCAAGGTACACCCATGTTGTAGCACATGTTAGAATTTCCTTTAAATGCTGATGTAGTCTGTGTATCTTTACTTTTGTTGCCTTTGCATTTGGCAAGAAATTTTTGCCAAATCCAGTGTCGTGAAACTTCCCCCCTTTTTTCTTCTAAGAATTTTATATTTTAGGTCTTTGATACATTTTGAGTTAATTTTGTATATGGTATAAGGGAATGGTCCAAACTTCATACTTTTCCTTGTGAAATCCAGCTTTCCCAGTACTAGTTATTGAAAAGACTGTTGTTCTCCCATGGAATTGTCTTGGCACCTTTGTTGAAAATCCTTTGACCATGTATATGAGAGTTTATTTCTGGGTTCTCTATTCTCTTCCATTTTTTCTATATGCCTTTCTTTATGCCAGTCCCATACTGTTTTGATAACTATAGTTTTATAAGAAGTTTTGAAATCAGGAAGTATGAGACCTTCAACTTCATTGTATTTGAAGGTTGTTTTGATTATTAAGGATCCCTTGAGATTCCATATGAATTTTAGGATGGATTTTTCTATTTCTGCAAAAAATGCCATTGGTATTTTGATAGGCTTTGCATGAAATCTGTAGATTGCTTTGTGTAGTATTGATATCTTAACAATATTGTCTTCCATTCCATGAGCAGGGAATGTCTTTCTGTTTGTGTCTTGTTTAATAGAAATTAAAACAATATATAAATCTCTCACCTCCTTAAGTTTATTCCTAAAAACATATTTTAAATGTATTATAAATGGAGTTATTTTCTTAATTTACTTCTGGGACTGTCCATTATGAGTATATAGAGATACAACTGATTTTTGTGTGTTGATTTTATATCCTGTAACTTTGCTGAATTAGCTCATTAATTCTAACAGGTTTTTTGGTAGAATTTTTAGGGTTTTCTACATAGGTAGAAAATGCATACACACACACACCTCAACAGTGGACTGTTCATGGCACTATTATTTATAAAAGGCAATAACTGGAGTTAACCTAAAAGTCTATCATTTATATACTGCACAAATCATAGCAGCTTCATACAGTAGATGTTACACAGTGAAGAAAGTATATTGCTACATGCAACAATATGGAGTTAACAATACTACACAAACATAAACAGGGATTCTCAAAGAAGTACATAATATATTTTTCCACTTCAATTCAAGAACACATAAAACTAATATGTTGTTTTATAAGACCACTTCTCAAAGTATAGTCCAGAGACCCCTGAGGGTCCCAGGCCCCAAAATGCTTTGGGAAATCTGTTAGTTCAAAACCATTTTCATAATAATACTGGGACTTCTGTACTTGTGTGCCTTCTTCACTCTCACTCTCTCACTCACAAGTGTACAATAGTTTCCCAGAAGCTACATGATCTGTGCTATTGTTAATGACTGTACGCAGAAGCAGATGGGAGAATCAAGGTGCCCTCTGTTAAGCCAGACATTAAAGAAATTTCCAAAGTATAAAACAATATCTCCACAAATTTTTTTTGGAAGATAGAGTTATTTATGTTCAGACATGTTATTTACAATAATATATAAGAGGTTTATTGTTATTTTAAAATAAATATAATTTTATAATTTCTCATTTTTAATTTCTAATAGGGTAAATAATCTGCATAAACAAAAGGTCTGTCTGGAGTTTTAGTAATTTTTTCCTGAGACCAAAAAAGTTTGACCAACATGTTTTAGATGACAGGATAGTAGTTACCCTTGGATAGTAAAATGGGTTTAATGAATGGAAGGGGATATATAAGGACCTCTAGAAAGTTGGTAATTTTCTGTATTTTATCTTGGCAGAAGGTGCATGGGTATGTTCATTTTAAGTCTTTACTTATGCTGTGTAGGCTTGTAATATTTATATTATATATATATATATATATTCTACATAAAATAGTGTTTGTAAATTGTCCATGACGTTCATGACTTACCACATGTCACCAGAAATTTATTTTGCTGCCATGAGAGTTCTTACTAGATGTCAGGAGTTTTGTTTTTAACAGTTGATTCACTGTCTGGAATAATCAGATGTATATTGCTTGGTTTCCTGCTATATTCTATTAGTTTTTCTAGAAAATCTAGTATGTCCTATTATTTTTTTCTGACAGTATATTTGCCACCCTCATAGGAAGAATCCTGTCCATTTTCAACACTTCAGCCACCCTGATGATAGTGATTATGGATGTGTACCAGTCATGTGTCAAGATGAGGTAGATGACAGGCCTGAATGTCCATATGGAGCATCTTGTTATAGGTATGTAAACCTGAGAAGTCTGCTTATACTTCATCTCTGTTACTCAGGAGGGAGGAACTGCGAGCAGCTTCTCATCTCAAGCCTTTAACTTTTACTTTTAAACTTCTATAGATAATAGGTATTTATTTCGTTAATAGGTAGGATTACAGCATTTATTTTAGATAATTCTAAGTTGTTGAAGTTATTCACCTCATAACTACCTGAAATTATTCCTCATTTCTAACTTTTTAAAATGCAAACCAGATCATTTAAAAGGTGTCAATGCTACCCATTATACACTCTTTCCAGAATCGTTAGTGGGACATAATTCACATTCTGTGACATTATCTCTGTCTACTTTCAATTCCTACTGCTCCACCATTCTTCCCCACACATGAAACTAAGTCCTACAGGAAAAGTAGAATACCTGTCCTCTCTCCTTCCATAGCATCTTGTGCCCACCTGTATCATACAGAGTAAAATTTATCTCATTAGACTGTGTTGTTTCTTTACTGGAATGGCTTCCAGACAGTAAGTTTCTTTTCAGCAAGGATTCTTTTATCCTTATATCTGCAATTTTGTTTAATGAGTGAACAAATTTGAAATCAAATTACTGAAGAAAGAATTAATGATTCCAATCTCAGAGAGCTTTAAATCCAGACAGCTGTCTTTCTTAGATAATTTTGGAATACAGGTTACTGAAGCTACTGTCCTATTTGAAGTTGTTGCTGTTTGTATGATTGTGTTTTACAATAGAAAGGCAGAATAAGCTTCTGAGGCTAGAAAGAAAAATCAAAAACATATGCCTTATAATTTGAAAAATAAATGTTCCATTCCAGCAGAGCATCCTATGGATCAAAATAAGAGGATATTGTCATCAACTATGTCAGTAAACTTGAAAATTTAGTAGAAATGAGCAAATTCCTAGAAAATGCAACTTTCAGAAAAGATATAAGAAGAAAAACTGATAATCTCATAAGGTTAGAGAAACTGAATATGTAATTAAAAGCCCTTTACTAAAGAAATCTAAGTCTCTGTGGCTTCAGTGGCTGGTAATACCACACATTTAAAAAAGAAACACTTAATTTTTATGCAAAAAAAAAGTAAAAGGGTGCCTATTCCCTAATCCATTTTGTGAGACCAGCATAACCTTGATACTAAAAACCTAGCAAGAATAATACAGCTGTAAAAATTATAGGACAATTACTTTTGAACTTAGATGTAAATATCTTAAAAAATAAAAGAGGTTAGTTAAGTAAATTGAGTAAGTTTTAAAAAGGAAAATATGACTAAATTGGGTTTATTCAAGGAATACATGTTTTGTTTAATATTACTAAACAATGTAATTTGCCACATATCAGATTACATAAAAAAATCATACAATCATTTCAATGGATGATTTAAAAAACTAACAAAATTTTTTCATTTATGTTGAAAACTCATTTCAAAATAGGAACAGAATGTAGCTTTAATATCTTACAGGGTATCTATAAAGAAACAGCAAACATCATACTTAGAATAAGAGGTTAAAAATTTTATTTCTGATACCAGAAATGAGACAAGAATGCCTATTATTCTTGTCAGCATTACACTGGTGATTCAAGGCAATGAAGTAAGACTAGAAAAGGAAAATGGGTAAGGATTCAAAAGGAAGAAATGAAACTTTCATTGTTAGCAAATGGTATCATGTGGAGAGAAAATAAAAAATAATACCTAATTAATTTTAAGTATTAATACATGCTTAGCAAGGTTGTTGAATACAATACCACTATACAAGGTCAATTATATTTCTGTATTCTAGAACCATCCAATTAGAAAATAAAAACTTCTAAAAGATTGTATTTGTAATAACATCAAAAAGTATCAAGTTCATAGGAATAAATCTAGTAAAAGGTGTGAAACCTCTATGGAGAAAACTGTAAAACTTTGATAATAAATTTTTTTTTAGAAAAACCTAATTAGAAGGTGTGAAATATATGCATTGGAAAACTCAGTATTGTTAAAATGCCGTTTTTCCCCAAACTGACTTGTATCCAAACTCATTCAGAATCACCATAGTTTTTGTGTAGAAATTTATGATGTGATTCTAAAACTTATATGGTTGTGCAAAGAGCCAAAAATAGCCAGGAGAACCTTAAATAATGAAAAATACATGGCAGAACTTGTTATAGAGTTATAATAATTAAGGTAGTATAGCATGGACCCAAAGATAAAATAACAGGACCGGAACAGAATAGAGCCCAGAAACAAACTTGTGCATAAACAGATGACATATTGATGAAAAGGGGCATTGCAGGCATTGAGAAAGTATGGATTTTTTCAATTGATTTTATTGCAATAAGGGAATCTATCTTGTAAAAGAAAATTGTAGCCCTATTTCACATCATAGTAAAAAACTGAATTCCAGATGGATAAGAGAACTAAATGTGAAAAAAGGTAATAATTCTGCATTACCAAAGTTTTTTTTAATAAAAAGGCATTTATTATATTTATTATACTTTTTAAAATATTTTAAAGATACATACAAAAGAATTATTTCATGATCTCAGAACAGAAATTGTTTTCTAGAGCAGTAAGTAACTAAGCAGTAACTAAGATAGAAAACATTTAATTATTTGACTACATTAAAATTAAGATTGTTTTATCCATCAGTAGGCACCATTAAGAGAGGGAAAATAAGCCACAGAGTGAGAAAAAATACTTGCAACCACATAGCTGACAGTAGGCTTATATCCAGAATATATAAAGAGGACTTACAAAATGCTCTGTTTTTATCTTAGTGACATGTACAGACTTTTTGCCCAAAAGGGAATCTAAATAGTGAATAAATATATTAAAAAGTACTCAGTATCATTATTAATCAGGGAAATTTCACACACATACACACAATAATTCCTTGCTCCCATTTATTTGCTTGTTCAACTAATGTTTTCTGAAAAATTATCAGAGGCCAGACTGATGAAACAATGCTGAGTGAGGTTACTTGTAGAACAAAGTATTTGTATCTGTCTATCTATATATTTTAGAACAAAACAGCCTTTCACAGCTCATCTCATAATTCATGGCACTATAGTTATATGCCTTTTTATTTAAAAAACTTTTGTAATGCAGAATTTTACACATATGCACAAGAGGGGACAATATGGAATAAGTTCCAATGAAGCTGTAACTCATTTTCAGCAATTGTCAAGTCTGAGCCAATAGTTTCATCTATACCCACAACCCCCTGCTCTCCCTGTAACTACTACCCCTAGATTATTTTGAAGCAAACCCTTGACATTATTGTTTAATCCCATTTATCCATAGATATTTTATGGTATATCTGTAAGTGATAAACACTTACTAAAAACATAACTAGAACACCATTATTAAATAAATTTTTACTATCAGTATCCTGTCAGGCATCCTAATTCCCATATATATATATATTTTTCATTTTGTTTCTTTGAACCAGATTCAATTAAGATCCATATATGGCAAAACATGGCCATGTTTCTTAAGTTATTTAATCAATGGGTTCCTTTTTGTATTTTTCCTTGCAATATATTTGTTAAAGAAAGCTGATCATTTGTTCTGAGGAGTATCCCTGGATTTTCCTGATCGCATTACCAAATTGTCATTCACTGTGTTCCCCTGTATTTCCTAATAATTGGTAGGTAGAGCTAGAGGTTTGATCAGGTATCAGTTCTAAAAACTATAAACATTGCCTTGTCATATGAATATAATGTCCTTTTCTATAAAAATACTTCTTGCTATAAAGTCTACTTTGTCTAATATTTACAAGTGGTTACAGATATGTTATTATTGATGTATAATTTAATTTCATAAAACATTTTTTAGAATTTAAATCCTTGGAATTTATTGAGATTTGCTTTTGGCCCAGCAAATGTTCTATTATTGTTGAACATACCATGTGCACTTATATATTCTGTGATTCAGGGCAGTAAAGTTCTGTAAGTGTCAATTTGGGCAGGTAGTTAACAGTGTTGTTCAGATTTTTATTATCTTTGTTGATTTTTTTCTATAGTAGTTTTACTAGTTACTGTGAAAGGCTGTAAAAATCTTCCCTGTAATTGTGCATTTGTCTATTTGTTCCTTTAATTCTGTCAGTTTTTCTTAATGCACCAATTGCAGTCTGTCTTCAGTGGAAAAGCCATGAAAATGGGAAACTCATTCAAAGCTGTTCTCCTTCCTTTGACTCCCCTCTCGTTTCTGCATGCTTTTGAGAGCCATTACTGCTTTATGATTATTAGTTTTTATATTTTTAGCAGAATATAACTGTTACCTGTTGGAGGTTTGAGCCTGAAATGATCTCCTCTGTCATTACTGGCAATAGAACTACTTTGTATGATACAATATAGCCACTCCAGCTTTCATTGGTTAGCATTTGTGTGATATCATTTTTCATACTTTTACTTTCAACTTCTGTACTTATATTTAAAGCATGCCTCTTACAAATAGCATATAATTGGTTCATTGGCTTTATTTTTAATTCAATTTGATAGTCTCTGCCTTTTAGGTAGATTGCTTAGTCCAATTACATTTAATACAATTACTGATATATTTGAGTTTAATTTTGTCATTTTGCTATTTGTTTTCTGTTTTTCCCTCACATCTTTTGTTCCTTTATTCATCTTTTCCTTATTTCCTTTGGATTATTCAAGCGTCTTTCATTCCACTTTTTTCTCCTCCATTAACTTTTTAGTTATATGTTCCTTTTTTCCCATAAGTTTCATTAGATTTTAATAGGCATTGTTGGACTTAGTAATGTCTACCTTACAGTTGGTATTTTTACCACTTCCCAAACAGTGCAATAATCTTTCATTACTTTAAGTCCATTTACTTCCTCTTCTGTATTTTTTTTTAACAATTGTCACTTTTCTTTTTACTACTGTCATGTATTTTTTAACTATTATGGTATCTCTACATATTTTAACTTGTAAGGCATTGTTATTACCTTAACTTTTAAGCATCATGATTCTTTTATGTGTATTGACATATTTCTCATTTTGCGTACCCTT